GGTCTGGCACGTGATATGCCCAATCCAATCCATATCCAGTTTCTTCTGCATATTTGTTGGGCGATGGGTTCTTCGTTGGTTCGTTCCCAAAGTGCCTTGTTGCTTATTCTTATTATTCTGGTCATCTGATCTGATCTTCAGTATTGAGTGAGTGTAGATGAGAGCTGTTGATGACGTATGCCTGTAGTTTGCTGGAAATGCTTTTCGTAACGCACCACCAAGTCTCTCAACCATCACAGAAAAGCACTGACGTGACACTAGTATTAGTGTTGAAAATCGGGATCTTGTTCAGGCTTTATGCTGAGTGGAGTGCAGTAGATCTCCACACTGATTTCAGGTTAATGAAAGCGTGTCATACTGTTTTTCCGATCCTGGCTTTGACGTCCTCATCTGTTCCACTGCCTGTAGTTGAAATGATGTTGCCTAGGTAGGTGGAAGATATTACTTCCTTTAGATTTCACCAGTTAGTCGTGATGTTGCGTAGAGTAGCGTTGCAATTTGATCCACACATGATTCATTCTTCCTGAATCTAGCCAGCATGGTCCGGTCGTAGTTTTGAATACAGTACATCTTTTTGACTCTTCAGGATGATGCGCTAAATATTTTGCTTTCTTTGGGTGGACAGAGATAAAACATGATTCCGCGCCAGTCCTTGAAAAGACTCAGGTCACTTATCTTCGTGATTTTGACAGGGTAGCCCTTTTTCCAGTCAGTCAGCATGTACTTTTCCTTCATTCCTTCCTGACCTTATGCAGTAGTGGTGTGGTGTGAGCATGTTCCCTGTTGATGTCTCTGCATCTGTTTTCAGTGCTTCTGGAGAAGTTCCACATGGTCCTGCTGCCTTCACGGATTTCAGCAACCTTATGGCATACACGACTTCTGCTTATGTTGGGGACATGTGTTCACTGATGGTTCTGTGGTTGGACTGGTGGTGGTATTTCTGAACGAGTTGTCGGTGGTGGTGGTCGATTCAACAGTTTTTCAAATGGTCAGCCCGTTGTTCCCCTTCTTTCTCCACCTTGATGGTGACTTATTTTCCTTCACTATCTTTCATCGGCTTCATCTTTGTTGATATTTGTTAGATAGACTGTAACCTGGTTGTTTGATATAATGTGTCAGGACTCTGTCTCTCCTACCAGCAGCCTGTTCTGCTTCATTTGCCAATGTGTCGTAGAAGTGTCTTTTGTCCTTCAGCGCACTCTTCTTCACTTCTTTGTCCAGTGTAGTGTTTTATGCTCAGCTTCTCTTTTTGCTGTTCATTGCTGCACTGAACTGAACTGCAATGGTTCATCTTCTGCTTCGCCATCTTCCTCTCCTCTACCAGGTCCATCCCTTGTCTAGCTTCTTCTTCTTTCGTAACACTGTTATGTAGGTTTCCTTCCACATCTCTTTCAAAAAGTTCTAGTTTTATTCCACACAGGTTTCCTGGGGGATGTTGCTTAATGTCTCCTTTTTTCTCCTGTTGTCTGACCGACGTGAAGTTATCCTTTGTAGTTTCGTCCTTCAGTTCAGTTTTTGTTCTAGGAGTTGAACGTGAACTGTGGTCTATCACCAACGTCTTTGAAGGCTTTCAACTTGATTTTGAAACTAGGTTCCTTGCACTAGGTAGTGAGTAGTGTGAACCTGCATCTGCTTCTCTTCGTGATCTTGTGTCCGGCAAGCTCCACTTTCTTCTGATTGAAATGAATTCATTTTGTAGTTATAAATAAGATGATAGGTTAATAATGAATTTGAACTAAAGGTTACTTATTCAATATCCTGGATAGCTTCGGAATTAATTGATATTAGCCATGCTTGCCACACTAGAGAAAGCAGAGCGAAGCGATTTGAAATACTTTGGATATCCAAAAATCCTTGTGAGCATTCAGACCATATATCACTCTCAGACATTCCACTACAGACAACATTTAGGATTAATAATATACTTATTCATGAGGTCATATGCAGATCACTGATGAAGGAAGCTCATCCAGTTTGCAGGAAAATATTTACCTAGTGTTAATCAAAAGTTATCTGTTATTTGGTGACTTACATTATATTTGTCATTGTGTAAAACGGTCTTGTGTTTAAAAACAAACTTTCAGCAAATAATACAAAGAACACTGACTGATTTACTCGAAATTAGCACTGAAAGCCTACTTAACTGTCCTGGTCTAAGGTTAAATCACTTTTATTTATTAGTTACTGAACATCGGAAACCCTATGTCTGTTGTCTAACCTTTACCTTCTACGCTTTTATTTCTGATGCATTTATATGATGTTATCTTACAGAGTCAGTCGCAAATGTTGTGTTCATAACTTTTAGGGATTTCTTACTGGTGTATAGTGTTCCCATGAATCACAACAATATATATTCGAATGCCAGAAAACTAACAAAGACAATGCTTTTTGCTCTCATGTCGTTGCTTTGCATCAGTACGGCATATATTCTAGTACTTGCACCAATAATTCCATTTTCGTTGAAGGTTTAAAATGACCTTCAGTAATCTGGGATTGTTAAAAATATTTTCTTACTCAATAGTACACCTCCGCTAGATCTGTCTATGTTACATATTTTTCATAGATTTTCAGTGGGAGTACTTAAGAAAGAAATTAATCGACATACTTTACTCCGCAAATATTTACTTTTAGAACATGTGGTCAGTACTCATAATCTCTTCATAACTGATGATTTCCTTTTTATTTGCAGAGCATTTACAGCATTTCATGTCATGTCAGTTTAAAACAAATTTGCATGTTTCATTCTCTGTCGTAATGTAGTGTGGTACTCTGTGTACTTAGTGTCAGTTTCTTTTGTCAATGAGCATTTCATAAATGCAATTCCGGTGATTGATGTTGCGTCAGCTTCAAACATTTAAAAGTCTGTGCTGTACTACTTACTGCAAATGACAGTAATATGTATTTTTCATGCAAAATTCACGAGTTCATTAGATCAGTCTGTTAATCAAACTTTTCGACTTAATGTGTTTACCATGCATTTAGATTATTTAAATTTAAGTTGATAATTGTGTTTTATCTATGGTTCAGTTACTAATTTGCATACGTAAATTACTTTGTGACATGTTAGGTAGTCAGTCAATAGGTCAAGATAAAGAAAACCTGGGTTTACCTAATAAAAGCTTAAGTTGGCTTACGTCATATCAGTGCGTCGGAATATCAGACAAGGTGAAAGTCACGGTAATCAAAAAGAAAGTCATCTTATCAAAAAGGAGGGGTTAAAAGCAATATAACTGTCAGGATGAATATAAGATATGAGTGCACTTGCAGTGCAGTAATCCGTTTCAAGAAATTTCATTGAAAGTTGCATGCTGCTAATTCCTTCTTTATTGAGGATCCGAAATTCTATCCGGTGGTGTACGTTGTTCTGGTTACCTTCATTTACCTACAGAATAATTCTTATTCAGATTGTACAATGCGTTTGAGTGTGTGGTTGACTAGAAAACATAGCACATTTTCTAACCTATTCGACTGACCAAACCTTTTTACCCAGGACTGTTTTCTAAAATCTCCGCTTTCCTTACGTCTTGGTTCCACAATATACTTCGAGCGTTACATAGGCAACTGTAGTCAAGTATTCAAAATCTTATTCGACACCTACTTACAGGGTTGATGTAAATTTCCAAGTGAGAGCCTGGGCAGTGCAATCAACTAATTCACTTCCTGTTGCAATTCATAAGTCCTGAAGCGTGAACTTGTATTTAGGAGATACAATAGACTATGTAAAAAAATTCTGAAATTCACGAATAATATGTTCAAAAGACTCTGCATCTTGTTACCAAATGTCTTCTGCAAAATTCATTTGATCTCAATTTAAGGCCTAATTAGGACTTCTTTTAGTCGGGTTGAAAGAAAAAATACGAAATTCATACCACTCAAAACAGTTTATTGTTCTTTTTGTACCTTTATGTAGTATGAAGTTAGGAAGGTAATCTAAATTTAATGTTTTTTATAGCTTAGATAACTCAAATGTTATTGCCCATCAAAGGTACCAAAAACCATTCTTGAAAACTCTTTTATCTTGGTCTTTGACTGTATTATGGTTAAGTTGCTTCAGACTAACCGTAAATCAAAAGGTTGAGGTAAAGGAAATTCAGAAAAAAGGTAGACATTCAAATTTGAGGTGGAAATACTGACAAGTATTCGGTGTCAAATGCCAACATTTAGCTATTAGCATAAGAGAAGGCTTAGCGTGAAGGTTAAAAGTTAATTTTTGGATCAATCCGGTCAAGGGAAAGACAAATAAAAGATATAAAGATACAATAGCAAAGGGTTGGATTCATGATGAAAAATAAATCTTAGTAGTGGGTTAAATACAAAGTGATACTGTGTAAAATTTCGAGTTTTTAATGCAGTTTGTTATTTATTGGATTTAATCAGCTTGGAAACTGTTGGAAAATAATATAAATCAGTGTTTCACTATGTCTGCAAATGTCCATTATATGGATTTTGAAGGAAGATATTGTTTTTGATAAGTTTACAACGAGTGAAGATGGTGCTAACGTAACTTTCTGAGGCTGAATACCTCATTAATGACATGTCTAGCCGTAACACTGAGTTAAGTGGGTTCTAACCTCACACGGGACATCAGTTCTGTTGAGGTTGCAGATACACCTTGCTGATGAGCGCCGAAAAGCATGAAACCTAGGTCCAGGGATTCCCGCCAATCACCTCCATCCAAATGATATTTCTTAATTTTTGGTTTGGGAGGGCAACATAAAAAATAATAAGGAGGTGCTTTTTATCTGATGAGCCAAAAGTCCAATTTACTGTTTGGTTTTCAGACCCAAGTACTCACTGAAGCTCATAGAGTTACTTCGATGGTTGATTGTGGCATGTAATAGGTAAGTGTAGAACTGAAATGTGCAATAGTTTCTTATGTAATCTGGTTTTGCAAACTGTTGTACGGTTAAGGCTGTTGTTCTTCGACTAAAATTTTTCGTAATATGCTATTATTATGTGAAAACTCAAAAAATTGTTTTCTGCTCTTTTATATACTTTAGGATGTTTGATCTATTAACATTGAGCGGCGTAAAAAAGTTAAATTCACCTTCGTATATTCGTGACCGTTACTTTGGACACATCAAGGACTACACTGAGCTCAATAATTTGATCCGTTCGTCAAATTTTGTTAATCAGCCAGGACGTAAATCAATACGAGCTAGCGGCTCTCAAGTTTTTGATCAACAACGCACATTTATGAGTCAAAACAAAAACACTTTAAAACCATTCGGTTATTATGATGAAATTAGTCACGCAAACAACTACGCCGAAGAATCTGTCCAGCAACTTCTTCCTTTTGGTAATATTATTAGCAGTGATGCCGATTTTTCAGTACATGAAACAGGTATTTGTCATGCATTGACCGGACTTACAAATCGTCAGCGGTATATTTGCTTACAGCATTCTGGTTTAATATGGGCAATGCTTGAAGGCACCCATTTAGGTATGCATGAATGTGTACATCAGTTTCGACACGAACAATGGAATTGTTCGGCAGTTAACCTGCTGTATCGTTTGCATACGAAATCGAAAAAACTACCGTCAATTCATGGATTAGAAGGAATTTTACAACGTGGTAAGTATTTCCCAGATTATTTCCTTTCAAAAGCCATTTTATTTATGCACGAGCCTGTGACAATTTGTTATAGTTAAAGACAGTTTGCATATCATATTTCCAGATGTTAAATTTGTAAAAGTGTAAACGCAAAGCTTTTACGGTAACATATGTAACGTTTAACATAAAAGACACATTTGTATTACACAGGGGAATGAAATGAATTGATCTACCAGTTGTAGATCAAGTTGTCGTGATGGAATAGAATATGATCATTTAATAGACAACAGAGTATTCAAGTTAAGAATCAGAGATAAAGTTAGTTATTCTTATATGAAAATGTTATAATGTGACGATATTAAAAAAATTAAGTGGAGTTATAGAAAATAAGGCTTTTGAAATATGTTTAATATGAAAAATCAAGTCCAAGATGATGAAGAGCACCGTGCAATAGGAGTTTAAGCTTCTCTTTTTTATCTTTTTCTGTTCGGGACCTTCGGGTGCGTGATAAACCAATGGATCTCATACCTCCTGTAGAAATTTGGCTTTCGGATAATTCGTGCAAGATAGTTTTCAGGACTTTTGAAAAACAATTTTTCGATTATCCTCCATTCCATTTTTACACGTAGAACTTGGAGCTTCACTCAGGAGTAGTAAATCTAAGTTTCAGTTTAGTGGAATAAACAATTATACATGGGATTTCAAATAGAAAGTTGATGGAATAGGAACAGTAACCCATTTGAGGATAAAGAGTAAAAATAACTAATTTCCTTCAAAGAGAAAATGTTTATTCATCGTAATGTAAGGTTCTAGAGTGCAGTATTGAGAACTCAAAATACGGACAGGACTCATGGTTGAAAAATTCATATCTTTTATTCAAATCGCAATTTTTATTTCTTGCTCTTCAAAGGGTCTTCAGTGACATATGAACAGACTTTTACTGAGAATACTTACGGTTATATAACCGCATAACTAAATGATTTATGTGATACACTGTTGATGAATGAGCTGCTTATTTCTTACATGCACTGACCTGAAGATCCCAAACAACAATTTAGTGTATTTTGGTGGACTGTTGCAGAGTACTGCAAATCGTAAACATCGTTTTTAATGGTCTGAGGAATATTTTGAATGAAATTAAATATAGCAATATGCATTCAGCATTGAACATGTCTTTTGCAACTGTTCCTAACCTCAAAGAGTCAGCTCTCAGTTTAGGTTGGTTTACTTTAGTATTTATTTACTCATTTATGCCAGCATTCAAAAAGACATATAAGCTACCAATTTTCTATCATATTCGTACCCATGTTTTACGTCTTGAAAAGCACTTCTGACTAACGGCCCTGACTTCAATAGATTCCTTCTCAGAGGCTTCGTGAATTTTCCATGTGATCGGCTGATCTTTAGCCTACCGTTAAACTTAGTAACTTTATGAATTTAAAGTAAGACATTATCAGTCAACTTTTAATGTGGTTACTATCCTTTGGCAATCCCAATACTTTTTCGAAATTCGGCAACCTACTCATGAGTAACTAAAGTAAAACCGTGAAACGTTTTTCTATGTTTATTGTAACACGAAATATTTCAGTCTAGGGTGATAGCCAGATTCCAAACTAAATTGTTAAATTCTGATCAGTGCTGGGTACTTTGACTTTGAAAGCTTCATCAATCACTACCAGCTGTCAACTTTATATGAAACCCAGCTTTTTCTGATGCAGCCTCGCAAGAAAAATAATTTCGAATACCCAAAACTTCAGCAAGAGGATGAGACTTGAAGAGTACACTTGAAGTTTGAGGGAAAATTTGAAACGTTTCTGTAAGTAATCTATTGAATATTCCGCGAAAAAATAAAAGTAGCTTTCCGTTTGATGGGAATTTCTTTACTTCAAGCAGATCATTTTTCTTGTAGCACACGAAAAGAATTGTACTTGCACCGACTTGTCTTTGAAGATGAATACAAAAGCATTCATTTGAATATTAAGGTTTATCTGACTATTTCTACCAAAGAAACGAAAAATACTGTGGGGTCTACACTGAATTCAGCTGGAAGTAGTTATTTTGGATCTGTCCAGCTACCGTAACCCATGATTAACGAGATCTACTGAGATATCAAGATAATTTTTCAACTTATGAAAGTGAGTCATTAAACAACCATCTGTTTGCTTATTTCAGCTCAACCAAAAACAAGTAGATAATGTTATACTGAGCTGTCAGGAAGGCATAATTAATAGTCAGTTAGAGAGAGCTGTATTACATCGAAAATTTAAATTTATAGTAATATGGATCACGCCTAAAAGTATGCAGCATTGAACTTTACGTAGACGGTTAGGTAACTATCATCAAATTCGTAGAATTTTATTGCAACCCTGAATTCAAGTGAACGACTTTCGGAAGTGCACACCGAAAATATTTAGGTCGTAAATTTATACACCTGGTTATTTACAGTAGTTTAAATTTTAGGTGTGTTTCACAGTTGCTTTAACTCTCACTAGCTTACGCATCCAGTTGACTGAATGCAAAGAAGTGTTGTTGGCAAATCCAATTCTAATTGAGAGTATGATGTTGATGACAATTGTTCTGAAGCTATAATTTTTAAACCAGCACTGTTTATTATACTGTACAATCATCGTGTGAGTAATAACATGTGATAAAGACTTCCGAAAGTATGTAAGAGCCTACATATTCCCTCCAGTAGCCTTGGAAACGAAGTTCTAAATAGTATTTTATAGATAGTTCACACCACTCGCAAAGCTGAATGGTTTCTCTGTAAAATAAAAAGGCTCTAACAGAAGCTAATTAAAATAAGGACATCCATAGGTGATACAATATGCTCATTTAAGTACATTTTTGTCAGAAGAGCAGCAGTTTCCATTTTCAAAGCTTTCCCATATACCTTAAATACAACTGACTTTAAGTCAGTTGAACTCTACGCTATTGTGGTTTTTAATATTTAGATTTGCATCCAAACCTCTAATTCGCTGTGAAAGCTGAAAATAACCGAACACGGACAACTGGATTTTGCAGTTAGTACTGCTAAAACAGAAGGATATCAAATGGCCTATAAATTTGTGTTACCAGTGGAAGCATGTCATTCGCCCCATTGTTCGTGCTTTTGAGTCTAATATTCTTGTTTCTGTGGGATTAGAGGAAACTGTAGAGATACCAGTGAAGTTTTTTATGAGTTCGGATATAGCAGGAACTAGCTTTATCAGATTGGATATAGGTTCCGTAAGTCTTTCTGAATGAGAAAAAACGCAGTATTGTACTCACTATCGGCTGATATGAAGCAGTGAGATTCAAGAGTTTGCAAGTAGATCATAGAAAAGATTTTCTTTTGAGGAAGAGTTTTCTTTAGCCCGGGAAAATATTATGTGTTGACTAAGAGAAGAATTATAAACATGGTCAATACTCGTGTTCACTTTCTTGTGAATTCAACGCTAGACTTGGTATTTATTTAAAAACCGGCATTACCTGTTTTCCTGATGCAAGATCATATTGGACAACGGTTGTGACGTAATGTAGATTTTATACAAACAGAAAACTTCACGAAAATATCCCACTTCTCCTTTTTATTCAAGTAAGTTTTTGTAACATAATGAAAACGTCAGGTAGCATATCGGTGATTACTCTGCAGAAGTTAATGCTGGTCATCAGTTGTCCGTGCCTCACTGAAAAATGTTGGTGCATTCACGAAAAAGAAGCATGATAATACTTCTGAATAAAATGGATGATTTTTAAAGATCTGAGAGGTGCTACTTTCTTTAACCTAAAATAGTAGACCAAGTTATCACTACTTTAAAGTGCAGTAAAAAGGTGGCCTTTCTTTTATAGACAATCAGACTTTATGATTGCATTCCTCAACAGAAAACAGCAAGTTCATCAATTCTGGAAGAGCTACAATAAGTTTAATACTCTAAGTTGTACTTAATTGGTTCATGAAGCTGTCAAACTTACTCTTTGAGTAGAATAAAATTTTCTATGACAAGGAGTCAACAGTTTGACGGTGAAGTCATTTTCATTAAAAGACATCTATAATTCACATGCAAGTCAAGCTACTAGAAAACATTACAAATCTAACTAAAATCACTATGTTCCATGGTCAAATCAGTTGCGAGTCTTATCAGCTACTGATTTACATGAAGCTTAATGGAAATTAACATCCTTGCATGAAATTGATTTGCCAACTACTAATATATCAAACTCAACGAAAACGGTAAGAACAATGGTGAAAGCAGGACAAAACGAATTCATTTCTTCAGTCTCTTATTAAAAGCAATGTCGTCACTTTTGAAATTGAGTAGAATAAATGAAAGCTTTACTGGTTTCAGTTTTCAACAGAAACTATTAACAGGCAACTGAAGACATTACTGGCTAGAACGTCTGCTGCAGCCATGTTAATTCCTCTGTACCAAACGATGTACTCCTTAGTTCAGTCAGAAGTCATCAGATACACCTTCTAAGCTATCCCCAGCTTGTATATCGATTTATTTGTAGATGCCGAAGCATATACATTTGGAGTGTAGAAAGAAAAACGTACTTTAGATTTTCTGGAGGCGTTTTGAAGAGCCTATAATTAAGGAAAAGTAACACTGAACAACTCAATCACTCGAATTTCACTGACAGTGGAATTCCAGTAGATGTTTTCAATTGCTTCAAGATAACAACCAAACAAAGTGTCTCAGTTCTCCTAAAGTTTGCTGGGACCGTAGCAATTAAACGCCCCAAACATGGTTTGTGTTCAAAAAAAAGTGTGGTCAACCTCCGTTTACTTTGGCAAATTTCCTCGACTCTAGTTGTTTATTCGTCATTAAAAATATACTTCTTGATATTTTAAGTTGTAAGCAGTCGATGGCATAAAATAAAATTAAATTAAACTGTTTTGTCCTTTCTTTTTAATGTTCGTGCTCTTTTCAGTGTATTCAAAAGAACACATACTACTGATGTCCTCTGCGTGTTTTAAATATGTATTATCTTCTTGGACAGATGATATCTTGAGTCACTTGATTTTCCGTTCATACAGAAATGTGGCAAGTGATTAACTATGAGAAAGCGTGAAGTAGTTTAGTATCAAGTTTCAAGAGATTTCTCTTTCACTTTTTATGCTTGAAACAGGCTCGATTTGAGAAAACATCTTCTTAAACCAACTTTGTGGTGATAAACTAGTTTTTAGTTTTAAACTTATTCTTCATGACCGTATGACTAAGAGGAACTAATTGTGCTTAAAACGTTGTTCGGTGAATATTATCATTAGTTATTCTTTGGGTTCCTAGTGGAACATAGGGTTTCAGTGGCACATTGCCATTTCACTCTCTTCTCTACAGTCTTTCCAACCTGGCTTCACGACTGTCCTCAAGCTTCCGTTCCTACCTCACACGATCTCCTCAATGTCACCTTAGAATCGGATGCCCAACTCGTCGTCTCCCATTCGAGTTCCACTCGAAGGCCTGGCACGGCGCGTGATATCCCCAGTCGGTCTTCTCAGTGCACACCCAATCCAATCCATATCCACTTTCCTCTGCATATTTGTTGAGCAATAGGTTCTTCGTTGGTTCGTTTCCAGAGTGCCTTGTTGCTTATTCTTATTATTCTGGTCATCTGATCTGATCTTCTGTATTGAGTGAGTGTAGGTGAGAGCTGTTGATGACGTATGCCTGTAGTTTGCTGGGAATGCTTTTCTTAACGCTCCAAGTTTCTGATATTCGATGAATGATGCTGTGATACAATTCGTTATACCGGATAAACTATCCAATATGAAATAATACTCAAAATGGTGTTTGATTTTCATGTTTACACTTTCATATAAAAACTTGTTCAAGCTTCATCGAGGAAGTGCGTCTCCTGAGAGATGTATGTTGTAGTCACGTGATTCACTTGAGAAGTTATTTCTGTTGAAAAACTTTCTTCTTAAAATGATTCCCGTTTTGTCTGAAGTGTTAAGAAGGCACTTGTTTTCGAACCATTTTGGATATATCTGAAACAAATGTCACAAGCTATCACGAATCTAGCTGTTTGAAGGTAAACATTAATCATAAGCAGTTAGGAATGAACATCGTTTACTATAATTATTGATTTTCATTTAGGCTCCAGAGAAACTGCTTTTCTTTCGTCTTCGTGGTCAGCTGGTGTTGTACAGGCAATAACGCGTGCTTGTAGTCAAGGCCAAATGGGGACATGTGACTGTGACCCACATCGACGTGAAGGTCAAGGCAGAGATGCTGAAGGAATTTTCACTTGGGGTGGATGTAGTGACCCGATTCGGTTCGGTATGCGGTTAGCTCGCCTGTTTCTAGATGCAAATGATGAAGAACATCGTAGTGCAGCACTACAGAGAGAACGGGAGCTACATGAGCAACGAATTCAGTTATTATCTTCAATGAGATCAGACAGTAGTGAACAACGAGATCGGATGTCACGCAGAATTTATAGATTCTCCCGTTCTTTAAATGGAACTGCAATACGCCAACAACCCAGTTCAAATAGAGGGGAAGAAAACAATTCAGCGTCGCAAGAGAATAAGCCTGATATTCTTCTTTCTTCTAAAGAGCTACAGGAGGAGATACTACAAATTATTCAGACAAAGGCTAGGACTTTAATGAATTTGCATAACCGAAAAGCTGGAAGAAGAGTGAGTTATAGTGATTTTATGGTGCTTTCTTGCAATGTGTCACAACTTAGTAATTTTAAATACTTTCCTAAAATGGATAGGTATTTCAGTTACTAGACGTTAGAATTTGTCTATCTTTTTAAGACGGTTTTCGGTCAAGAAGTATCGTTTACTCTTGGGTGGGGTGATGCTTTGAAAAGCATCGATTTCTGAGGATTACAAGCTTGCTGAAGTTGTGAGAAAACCTAACTGTTAGACTTCGCAAGTATTTATAATAAGGATAATAATGCTTCCAAAACTAGCGGAATTCGTATTTATTTTAGTGGTTACGAAGCTAAGTTCTCAAGAAGAACAAACATATTTCTCAAAAGGTTTAGTCTACAGATTTGAATATTCACAGAGTAATAAGTCATTGCATACATTTGGGCGAGTCAAAGTCCAGTTTCGCCTAAAGTTGTTTATGCAACTTGAATGAAAAGCGTTTATACAAACAGTTATACATACTCATTACGATAAGGATCGTAGAGTAAGAAGTAGAGAAATCGTTCAGTCTATCACTTTAATCTATTATTTTAATAATTTTTTTGAGTCATTGATTGTGTGCATAAACTTCCTTGGGTGTGGCAGCAAAAGACAGTGAGAATAAAAAAACACTTAAATATTAATAGGTCGAAAATGTTGTCAAGGATGCAACTTCTTCCTTTGGAAAATGGTCATCGCCTGAAGAAAGTTGGCGATTCAGTGTTTAACTCTGTTCCGTAAATTGCTTCCTGTAAATCAGGTCTGTATAACACAAACAATGGACAGTCCTGATGTTCGAATGACTAGAAGTATCTGGAAATCCATTCGCGTATTAAGTCTCTTGGTGAAACGGATTACTGCTGGAAACAGTAATATGTAAACCGTTTATTTAAATTCAGTTATCTCACCTGAACTGCTTACATATTTATCACACTATTACTTGATAATCCCTGTGAATGTTATTGTGGACAGTTTTCTTATCTGGAAGAAAGTTACCACTTGGAAAAATGCATCATGTTATATAGAGTGATGCCACTTATTATAAGTCCACATGACGGACACTCTATGCTCAGAACTTTTCAGCCAAGAAACATGAAGCACTAGTGAACTTATTTTAACTACTTAACATGTAGTTGTAAAGTATCCTGTAGAACTGAACCTATAGTGAGATGAAATGCAATCTTAGTAGGACAAAAATATGAAAATATTATTTCATTATCAAACTTTGATTCAATTCATCATATGTTATAGCGCTATATGATTTAAAGTGTGCACTGATTACTAAATTTTTCTAGGATCCAAAGTATCAGTTTGGAGTGATAAATAATTATCCTTCTCTGCAATGCTTCAATAGACTAGATCCTAGTCGAATGAATCACAAAAGAGATCACGTAACGAACTTCAGTATTCCTTCGGTGATCTGAAAAGAAAATGACTGTTTAGAAAAACTAAGTTTTAATTTATGTTATACTTGAGTGAAACGTATATATATATATATATATATATATATATATAAAAATCAACTCAAATAAAGCCTTAATTAAGCAGTACACTTAGGGGACTATCACATGTTCAGCTTCAGTCTAAGCTCATTAACTTAAATGTGGAATGGATGAAAATAAATAACTATTTTTGCGATACAAACCAGTACGATATAAAGTACTCTTTGTTTATGAAAGAAAACCCATTTAAAACTTGGCTTATCTAGTTAGTGTGTCGAACAGTTAGAGATAAATGACAAAAGCAATTCGGAAACTTTGATAAAAACATTTTCCTGTTGTTTGTTAAAATTAGCCTGATAAATAAAGTTATCTAATAGCAAACATGGAATTTTTTAATGCATGCAACCTAAAATATTTACAAATTCGCAAACAGTAAGTGGTTCGAATTCTCAATTAATTCACTACTGTTTGAAGGACAGGCCATATTTTACCAAGTTATTAAGATAAGATTCCAACAGAATGTCAATGGATTCTGACTCAGTAGCTCAATGGTAGTGAGCTCATAATGAAACTTGAAGGTCGTGAGTCAGACCGTTGGCCAAGTCACGGTGTGCTTTTATGTTTCACTAACTAATTTTATTGCAGCGAATTAATTTCAGTGCAATGTTTCTATCTAATCACCCATATAAAGAAACAAATATTACATTTCAAGGTAGAATAGTTGGTGACTTCTCTAGTCTTGTAATATTTATTCACTGAAGGTATGTAGTTTTCAGGTGACCATCGCAAATCAGTAAGCATTATTTCTTACACGTTCTTGACATCCATAAACATCTTGAAAACTTCGAAGCAGATGTACCTAAAAGCCAAGTATTGGAAAATTTCCTTATATTACACAAGATTCTATGAATGTATCGTTGTTCAAAATCAAGCTTGATACTCTTTAATAACTGATTTCACTTACTTTTATTTAGCTGGTTTGGAAAAATCGGGTCACGAAGTGTAAATGTCATGGTGTTAGTGGAGCCTGTTCAATGAGAACATGTTGGCAACGTGTCAATGAATTTCGTTTAGTTGGGAAGGTGTTGAAATCTGCATACGACTCCGCTATTCGAGTCACCTATGAACCTAGACTAGATATATTGAAGCGAATTGATACAAAGATGCAAATACAAAAATTTAGCCAGAGTCATAGCTATCCCATCAAAAAGAATCTACCAGCTGTTTCAACAAACTTAAAACACGACTCAAAGAACTGGCTAATTGTAATTAACAATCATAGCAATAGTGGTGTGAAACAAGATCGGAATGGATTTCTGAGCAATAAAAAATCTCAACATAGATGGCCACGGATGACGATTGTCAAATCAAGGGAACTGCCAAAAAACAAATTAGTTTACTTGGAGGAGTCTCCAAATTACTGTTACTTTGATGAAAGCATAGGTAGGTTAAAAAATGGTCATGAAAATTTTATTTTTAGGTGTGATAACATAAAATGGTTAAAGTTACAGGTGGCGTTTATAATAAAACTTTCTTTTTAATGAAGTTAAACTTGTTTATTTAAATCATTTCCTTATTTCGCCTAATCAAGCAACATGAAGCAATATGCTTCTAACGAAAAAGGAAATTATGTGACTCTCTTGGAGGCATGGCATTTAGTGATATGCTATCATATCAAGTTCATGACATATCAGTTATTTTAATCCTCCTGACTGACTGGACAATTAGTAAAGATAGAAGCTTCTCTAGATAAGTTTGTTGTTCTTCACTTAGACTATCGTATACCAGGTGAGTTCATCTCTGTGAGTATGTTTGGCTGTTAGTTGGTTCCATTACGTGACGAAATGTATCTGTATCTAGATTATTTTAATACGTCTTACAGTATGATTTGTTACCTGCCGGAACATTTATAATCAGGTTCATATGCCTTTCACGCCTGCCGCATTTCCTGTCGCAGCTAAGTCAATAAAGTGCAAACAAATCTTTATTTTAGATTGTTAAGGGGTATTTCATTTCAATTCTCGAAACATCCTCATCAGAAAATGGAAACGTGTGGTTCAGTGAAGAGATTCTTTTTCGGCGACTTCATTCACCAAGTTATAAAATCGCATTTATAGATAATTCTTGGTGAGAATATACGATTTGTCTCATACATGAAAGCAGTTAGCTAAGCATGGCTACAAGCAAGGTGATACATAATAAAATCTAAATATTATTTCCACCCTAAAATCATCACAGTATTTATGAATTTTGAAAAGTAATCAAAAGTCATAGTAACAAGTGAAGTTACATTTATAAGTGAAATTTAGACCAAACATAATTTTCGATACTAAGTGTTGGAAATACTGATGTTACTTTGCTACCGACTCTTCTGTCAGACTCAGTGGTTAATCTGACTTCATTATTGGCTTTTTAATGTTCTAGGGAACAAACGATAACATCACTTGTCTCAAAGATAAATAAAAGCCAAGAATTGCCAATAGCTGAAGAACTTTCTCCATTACATTCTCAAAAACCGTAAATCTGACCATCAATTTATTAAGGATCGTAACTAATATCTTATAATTGCATTCACATACCAACATCTTAGGTGACAAACTATCACTTCTAAAGGGTTATAGGAAGAAATAATCCCACACTGGAAAGACCGCCTCCTCCGTAATAGAAAGCTACAGACAGAATGACAAGCGAAATGCCTTCGGGCCTGTAGGCATTACGCTAAGAATCGTGTGGTTTTAATAATTCCTTACCTTATCACTAGGATTCTTCCACTGGAGAAAAAATCTAAGTCCACTAAATTAATGATCGTGACTGATGTCTGTAGGACTAGATCTGGATCATCAGTAATTAGTCTATGCAACTGTCTAGTCCATACAGCTAAGTACTTATTGTAGTCGCCTGATTATGGTAATCAAATTACATTAACCACCTGATACTATCACCTAATGGCAAGCTGTTATTTTTTCCTGACACTTATAAACACGACTGTATAGCTTTGGTGAATGGGATCTTCGAAAGGAAGTGTTTCTTCACTGTCACGTCATTGTTCTATGGCTTTGTGTGGTATTTTTTTCATTCATGGAGTGATTTCATTCAGTAATAAATATCTAGACTCCTATATAAAATCCTATATTTATCTCAAACCTTGTACATAATGTGAACTCATGTTTCAAACTTAATAAGAAGAAATTTCGGGATCATGCTTCTGAGTTTATTTAGCTTCTAATGGCCAGGAAACCCAGTCTGTTTTCATATGTTAAGGAAACATATGGTTAAGTTAAGTATATCTTAATAACTGAAATCTGATATGAAGATTGTCTATGAAGTACCTTTTTCCTATTGATTTTAAATATATTATAATTCCTCATCTAACAAGTGAAGATAGTCACTTCGTGGCCCAAGTATTCTTCATTAATATTTATGATACGGATGAACAACATTTGGTGTGGTGTTTTTCATCGACTCAATTCACCAAGTTCTGAAGTTATTCAGAGTGTTTTGCTAATTTTGTTCAGATACGGAGCTTAGAAGCGTTCAAGATTTCATTCGAGATGTTTTGCTTAAATATACTCACTTTTTTCTTAATGTATGAAGTTAAATAGAATTCGATGGTTCACAGCTGTTCAGTAGCAGGGATATCAATCTAAGTGACCATAGTTTAATTTCTGCAGGTGATGCTCGAGTATTTCATTTCCAAGTGTTTACCATATGTGTGAAGTTTGGAACTGACATAAACAGTCCCTCAGTTGAGGCTTTCTTTAGAATATATTCATGAATAATTGCTCCAGTATTCAGGAATGTATGTGAAGAACACATATACATACACATTGAATCATTTAATTTAAATAAGATTTGTGAATGTTTAATTCTGATATCAGTTAGTTTTTCTCCATTTGAAATCTGATATTTGCTTTTTATCCAAACTTAGTTGATCTCGTACACAGTGTAAAACATGGTCTCAATGATTAGACAGTATAATTAAGGTCAGACTAACACTTAAGGCATAGTTTTGCAAGTTATCATCAATCATTTCATTACATTCCACCTCTAACCTTTGAAACTGATAGTAGGCTTGAATAATTCATGTCATCTGTAATTCGTCTACCCGTATCATGTAAAACGAGTTAAAGTAAACATAAATTATCCAGAGAAAGAAAGAGAAAAAAATTTCCCTGTTGTTGAATTAATTCAATATGATATTAGTATTGATGGTTTGTTCTTTTTTAAACAGATATAAAATGCCTAATTGTCTCAATGACGGTGAATGCCCACATTTTTCATTAGGCATATGTTTTTCAAACTTGAAAGGATAACTATTAATAAGGTCAGATAAAAGGAAAACTGGATACATATTGGTTTAAGCTTGATTTATGATATATAGGTTATTGGGATGACTGAGAATTATTCCATTATGTATTCAGTCGCAGTTTTATAATTCAGAAAAAAATTATCACCTCCTGAGTGCGTGACTGATATGAAGATGGGAAGAGGTAGATTTGTAGATTACAGCATAGTTGTATTGGGTCAGTATCTATCTAAGGACTTGCTGGATATTATTCAAGACATTTACTCACAGTGACTGTATCGTAACCTACATTTTCCTCCGTTTGTGAAAGGTAGTAAAGTACAAAAGCAATTCAAGGTCATCATATATGTTTTGTCGACACTTGTCTTCGCTTCATCATTGTCTCGTCACCTGCTCCTCTATCTCACTTTCTTCTAGATCATGATACCGTATAATATGAGACATTTATTTGTGAACATCTTTACACAGCATTTGCATACACAAAAGTATCAAAAGTGTTTTTTAGGCGTAGTTCACTTCAGTTTTCCTGTTTTTAGCAACCTGTTACCAGAAACCAGTAGGTATTTTACGGTGCTTAACAGACCAGGAAGTCATATCATATGAAGTAAAGTATTATTCACCATATTAGGTGTCACTTTTAGAAGTGTAACCAGATGAATCATGTGATCCATGTACTTTGACCTCATTACGAAACAGCTTCATGGTGTTGTCTCAATTATCACAAATAAAGTGGTCCTAAACTATTTCAACCATAATAATTTTGAGGTGATATTATTATTGTAAACTGAATGAAAACGAGAGGAATGTTGGAAGCTAACATATTGTCAGAGAAGCTAGTCCGAAATTTACTGTGTGTGTTCATTGTCTATACTGAGATGAATCAGTACTTCACGCCTAGTTATGCATAGCCTTCAGGTAGTCAGCACTCTACTGCTTACTGAGTACAGAATGCACTTTCTATCGTGTTCAACATTTGTCGAATACAAAAAGCTTAGTAACTCTAAAGCCCACACTGGCAGCAACTGCAATAGTTGATTACATTTCTTTATTATGGATGGTAGGGCAGCTTTTCACTAAATTGGAAAGCTTAATTGGCTATTTCAGAAGTTGTTAAGATGGGCCTTTGGAGTTACTCAATGAAATATGCAGAATGATCTCCAGGGCTGCATAATGACATCACATACCGCTCTGAGTGTAACCATATATATATATATATATATATATATATATATATATATAGGTTCAAAATAGTAAGTATCAGAGATGCAACTACTTACCATCCCATTAGATCTCTGAGTAAAAATGATTCATTGTTTAGCATAAACACTAAATGGATTTTCTCCTCACTAGATTTCTGGACAATGTTGACTGGTGCTTTAATCAGTTTAATGCAGTGCAAATGTAAAAACAAAACAAAAGGAAAAATAAATAAGCCTCATTAGTGCATGCTTTCTGTTCATTGAACCATCATACTGCCCCAACATTTATATTGTAATTTTTCTCCAGCCATACTTAACAGTTTGTATACCCTAGTTTATAGCAATATGACTCATATATTCATTGTTTTAATCTTCTCCATGATCATCATAAGTATCAATACAGTGATGACTGCTGCTCACCACTTCTATCATTCAGTTTAATAAGTTTCCTACATTAGAAACTGTCAGTACCACTCCTCAGGTAGGGGTAGTCGTTTTTATCTTTGTAATATCGATTCTAGGTATCCACTATCCTATTAAGGAACCACGTATTTTGTACCCATGTGCACGTAAAGTTGGGGATTTTCACTAAACATATCAGTAGACCAAAAGTCAAATCAAAGGTTACTTCTTATTAGACTCTTGGTGGGATGAGTTCATATCTCGCATAAATCAAGATAAGTTGCATTTTGAAACTGTGAAACACACAATAAGGACCTATCTGAATAACTTTTAGATCATCATATTCATAGTTTAACGTCATAAGGCTTTTATTAGTTGAGTAGTCCTCAAAGTATTAATTGTACATTTGAATTGTGCCCAGTTATACTGATTTTCGTGCTGAGTAAATAAATAAATAATTGCAGTAAACACAAATAGGTATTTATACCACGAAAACAAAGGGATGGCTAATTAGACCAACTAATTATAATCTCGTA